TCGACTCGAGCTCGAGTTTGACCGAACTCGAGTCGAGCTCGAGCGGCTCGAGCACGAACTCGAGTCGAGCTCGAGCCCATATTTTGTCTTGTCGAGCGGCTCGTCGAGCGGGTCGAATACATGTTAAATTACTAAAATACCCTTTTTATATATATATTAATATAGGTCCTTATTGGTAATTTTATCTTTCTAGTTACAATTTTTCGAGCCGAACTCGAGTCGAGCTCGAGCATTTTGATTTCGAGTCGAGCTTGAGTCGAGCTCAAGCTATTGAAATTTTTTATCGAGTCGAGCTCGAGCCAAAAAAATCGAGCTCGAGCTCGAACAGCTTAAAAAAAAAAGTCAATCCTGCTCGATAAGACCAATGCTCGACTCGGCTCGGCTCGTTTGCAGCCCTACACCTAATCTAACTAAAATAATTTTATAACATATAAAAATCAAAACTTAACCTTTCACCAAACACACTCTTACCCTTTTATATATTGAAGGAGTCAAACAGCAGCCTATAGTAATGGTGAAAGCGAACGAATGATTTCGTGGCACGTCGTTGAGTTGGAATTTGGACATTGGGAGTTTGAAGGGAACTTTTATTTATTTTATTTATTTTTCCTTTGTTTGGTGCTTGAGTAGTTTTGTTTTTTTGTCATCTGTCTTTACTGCTTCATAAGCATTTCAAGTTAAAAGTAGTAGGTGCATTGATTGGGTTGTGGTGGGGAGTTGGTGTATATTTGAGTACAGCTAGTATGTAACCCGTGCGATGCACGGGTTGTTTTTACTTTGGAGAATATTAAAAATTAAAATGTATTAATAAATAAAAAAGTGATAATTCATAGGAAAATTATCAAACCATAAAATGTTCCTCGTGCATATATTATTTAAACTTTCTTGTACACAACATTATTATTTGTTCAATAACTGAGCAACTCGTTGTCCCCACAAACTAATATTTTCAACACTTTTCTATTACTTACACGCGAAACAAACAACATAATTGTCTGTGATTAAAAATCGATTTCTTTAAGAAAATGCCAACGTACAATAAATGTTGACCTTGACTCTTCATGATCTATTACTTAACATGCCAAAGTACAATGAATGTTGACGTTGACTCTTCTTGACCTATTACTTACACGCGTAACAACATACAATTGGTCGTGATAAAAAAAAATAAAAAATTAAGAACATGTCAATGCACATCTCTTGTCTATTACTTACACGTAAAAACAATTCACCACATAATCGGTCGTTGCTAAGAACCGATTATTTAATAATATGCCAACGCACATAAAGACTGACCCTGATCTTAAATGAAACCCTAAGATTAGAAGTAACTAGTGCTCTAGAACTTAAATGAAATCCTAAGATGAATCTTTTTATAATATGATAATTTACTTAGGCAGTCAGACAATGAGCTGTTAGTTTAATATCGATTATACTTGATTAGCTATATAATATTCACTAATATTTATATATTTTTTATACAAAAAGACTGACCATGACTGTTAAATGGAACCCCAAAATCAGAAGAAACTGGTGCCGCTAGAACTTAAATGGAAGTCTAAGATGGATCTATTTATAATATGATAGTTTATATAACAGTTGGACAAATGAATTGGTGTATATCTAAAAAATTATGTATGAATAATACAAAACATTAAATATTACATCACACTAGTTTTATGAGAGCGATTATCTATAGTAGATATAAAATATAAAAATTAATGATTAGACATTACTTCATGCTAATTTTTTCAAGCTGAACAATTTTTAATTAAATGTCTGACAACTTGTTATATATTTTCAAACTGAACAATTTTTAATTGGACAACTTTCCTATTATATGTGTGACAACTTTTTAGGTAGTAAATATATATATATATATATTGCAATAAATTTATATTTTGTATATACAAAAAATAAAAAATCGATTTACTATATAAAATTTTGAAATTTTCCTTTTAAAAATAATTGACAAGAAGAATACCTTTTTTTTTCAAACGATAGAAATACT